TTATGAAGAGTGGATAGATAAAATAGACAAAGTTTACAACTGTGGACTTGAAAAGTAACTAACTCCGTTAGTCCTTTAATTGTAATTATAACAGTTCCAGTGGAGTAGGCTACTGTTTAATAATTGTACATTTTTTTTGGACTACTTATGCATTAAGCTGGTCCACGATTGTTTGCCAAGCTTTCTCCCTTCCCTTGATTATAGTACTGGTGTTGCCTTTTTTTCTTATAATGTGTTTCACCTCCTCATATGAGGGTCCATGTCATTGGTTCTACAGCCCATTGGTTCGACATCCCATTAGTCCGACTGTCCGCGGTGCTGAACGGCTCGCGGCGGGCGTATGGTGCGCTGCGGCCGGCTTGAGGCGGAGCAGGCTCACGGCTTATGTGTTTGTCACTTTCTTTTTCATTTTAACCCTCACCATGATCTTTTCCTGACCCTAACCAAGTGGTTTTTGTGCCTAAACCTAACCAGACCTTAACCACAGGGCATCATGATGATTTCGGAACGGACTTCGGAACAATGAGTTTAATATGGTCGAACCAATGGGCTGTCGAACTAATGGGCAGTTTCCCTCATATGATTCCATTAGGAGCTACTGCTCAGCGGCTGTAAAATAGGAAACGCGACTCTTATCCATTTTCCACTCTGTGATTCTGTGATCAATCCTGTGGTCTATTTATGAATGCCGTGAACATGCGCTTATCCCAACTATCTACACCTGGCTTGACATAGCCGCACCTTTTCATCCTGGCTCAGCAAATGTGCAACCAATTAAGCCAAGATGCGCCGATCAGACTAGGTCAAGCCGCGCTTGCTCTGTTATCCTGGATTTCTTTATTCTACTTTTGTGCAATACCCCTCAGGTCAACATGGAAATGATGTCCCTGAATTAACCTAAACAAATTATGCAGGATGAAAATAATGATGATGTTTCTGTTTCTGTCCTCAGATCTTTGCAACTGCAAAGATCATTATCCTTACTCTTAATGTCAGTGAACAGTATCTAAGCCTATTGGCAAGCTTTCTTGTTAGCAAAGCCTACCCAATTAGCAAGCAAACTCATTAACTCTGCAGTAGTTAACAAGGTTTTTGTTCAAATATTAACATCAATTTGGAAAACTAGCTTAGCTCTGAAGAAGCACAAAGGAGTTTTGAAAGAAGTAAAGGAGCAGCACACCGATGATGTGAGAGGGCTGTGATTGGTTGGTTGCAATGTTCACCCCGGAATTCTATATGGAATGTTGATCCAGGAGCATGTCCTGTGCAGAGATATCTCTCTCGATGAAAGTGATGCACAACCAACAGCCAACAGACCCACATGTCTGTGATCTCCACATTATCACCAGCAGACACACTGTACGCCACCTATAACTGTTGTTCTCAGGTAACACTGCACACAATGTTGCAATTATTTAAACTTAAAATATGTTTGCCAGTGATGTTTTACAGTTTTCAAATAACCTACAATATAACAACTTCCTGTCATTGCTCTGGAAGCACACAGCCACTTTTCTTTCAGTCTTAGTGTTTGAGATGTGTGCTGTATGCTATGTTTGTGGTGTGGTAAGTATGCTGGAGGTTGGGACTGTAAATATTACATGTGACATTTGTCCAGTATATGTGTGGTTGTTTATTTACATTTCTATTTATTTATACAAAAGTAAAAGTTTAAGATTTGGGTAAAACCTTTTGATTTGAACATGGCCTTTCCTCTGCCAGCCTCAGGCCAGGTAAGGATCTGAAAAAAAAAATAAAGTTGTTTATCAAATTGTCCAAGTAGTTTGGAATGAGCAGAGAAGATATAGATTTATAGATTTGATAGAGGTGAACATCAGCTTATTTACCCCCTTTGCCAACTTAGACTACTACTTAGATAATAGTGAGAAATCAAAACTTGTTGAGTTTGGTATGAGTGAAGACGTCTATGTAATAGTGAGTGAGTGATTGCTGCAGGCTGTGGCGGAGTTTCCTCTGCACTCTTGATGTTTGGGAGGAAGTGATAAGCAGGGTGGGGAAATGGTTCTGTATAATGACGGGGAGATAAACAAGTACGCAGCAAAAATACCACTTTCTGACAATGGTGGGTGCAAACATAGTACAAAATCTTTCCTGTCCCTCAGACAAAACATGAAACCAAATCCACACTTACAACATCATTAACAGAATGTCAATATCTCTGCTAGGAATAAACCAATAGCAAGAAAACATAGAGGAAGGTCATTAAAAAAAGAGTTCAACTTAAAACATGCTTGCTTATCCTGTCAGATGACAGGAGTGATATGAATTTTACGTATGCTGCTTGCATCAGTAAATATTATGGTAGTGTATTGCTTCCACGACAGAAAAAAAACAACAACAAAAAAAGCATCACATAATAACATGAAAAGTGTGTTATATCAAGATGTTTTTCATGTTATAACAAAATGTTTTCATGTTACAACAAGAGATTTACATGTTATTCTCATGTTATTTTCATGTCTTTTATTCAGTTCTTTCATTTCTATTGCAGTTTATTATTTATCTTGTTTTAACTTGAAACATTTCATCTTAAAACATGATCATTTCTTATTATTATTACGTAAAGCATTTTATAAACACAGACTATTAAAAACATTGAAACAATATGTGAAGTTATAACTATACTATTTATTCTGTAATAATTTGAAAGGTTTCATGTTATTTGAAGTTCTCATGTAATAATGTTAAACTTGATGTTATAAGAATAGAAGTGATCACTTTATAATGTAAAAGTTTTTATAACAATAAATGATCACTTTTGAACATGAAACATTTCACTATAACAAAATAGATAGTATATTGTTAAAACAATAAAGCGTCTAGTTAATGTGATTAGTTTGTGTGTAATAATAACATGGAAACATGAAAAATGCCTTATTACAGCAATGAACTTTTCATAATTTTTTTGTTTACGCCTATATAAAATCTAGCTTAGTCTAGCTCAGAACAAAAGTAGAGGTAGAGCAGGTCATCCAATTATAGAACAATCGGCGGTTCGATCCCCAGCTCCTCCAGCCCGCATGTCCAAGTATCCTTGGACAAGATACTGAATACAAAATTGGCTGATGGCTGTTCATTGGTGTGTGAACGGTTACTGAGTAGCAGGTGGCACCTTGTATGGTAGTGTCGGCCACCAGTTTGTGAATGTGACATGTAGTGTACAAGCAATTCGCATGGTCAGAAGACTAGAAAAGCGCTACACAAGTGTAGTCCATTTACCATCCATATGATGATGAAGTGTATGTAATAAATAATGAAATGACTATAATACAAAATAACAAATGGCTGATTTGTACATGAATGAAAATGTACGTAGGCTATGTCTTCATTGTTGCTGTTCCAAAAATCACATATTAGCCACTGATCATTTATCTGCTTTGTTGTGACTGAGAAAAGAACCTGTGGCTTCTGTGGTGGAGCTGATCATCAGCTAATCACAAGGGTAGAGGTACAATCCACATGTTGACAAGACATGAGGTGTGTGTGTGTGTGTGTGTGTCACACACAGATCTCGCTACAGAGCCACCACGAAGTCTCTTCTTTATGCCTCCTTTGCATTTTTACACAGAAGCCAATGACAGTGGCATCATTCTGTTCCAGTGTGTGATTATACACTGCAACTCGGCTTTACAGAATCAAAGAGGTGTGATGGGCATGACATGTAACACAACAGCATCGGCCTCTAGTGTGACATATAACGTACACATTTGCAGCGCCTTTGAAGCAAATACAATGGCATTAACATGTCAATAACAATCATTTAGTGTCCCTGTTATATGGGTCTGCTCTTGTCCTCTGCTCAGAGGTTAAGGAGCTCCCAGACCTCAGTGTTTTCACAATTTGTGGACATTTTCGGCCACTGTTCTTCCTTGAGTTAGCCGCTATTTGCTAACAGCTACTTTTTAAATCTCCCACAGTGGGTTGCATGTGAAACACATCGTAAAACATCACACTCATGCCGCCCATGATCCCATCCTGCCGGCTGTCCCTTTTATACGGACACCATTTTGGCACTGTTACTTAATCCCATGGCGAGACCACTTTGTCTCCCCATTCTGCAAACGTACTTTATATAGAGAACAGCGAGGTGGCATAACATTGCAATATTCCTGAGTTGAACAGGTAGTGTGAAAGGGACTAATGAGAGGCAAACTGTAAAAAGCTGTATCTTGGTCTACACTGACTTTATGTAGTTTGAAAGATAGGTTTACCAGGTAAAGAGTCTTCTTAAACATGCTGAAGAATTGTAGGATGCAGGGTTATGCAGTTTGACCCATACTAACAACTAAAACTCGGTGTATCTCAGACACTGCTTCAGTTTCGCCCTTTATTCAGAGAAACAGTCCCGTTAGAAGAAGAAATCCAGAAGACAACCTATAAACCAACCTGCTACTGGTGTTTTGATGTTAATTTGGAAAGGCTGCTGCTTGCCAGTCAGATGTCAAGCCTCAGATATTTGATGCAAACCTGTTTGAAAACCAATGGAACACTAGCAGACCTTGTAAACATACCTTTGACAAAGTTGTAATCAGACTTGGTTTATGCAAGTATTACTAAACTGAAAACACCATGACCAAACTTTACAAGGAAAATGGTTGGTACGTGTAACATGCTGGTTACCATGTCCATATATGGAGGAATGCTGTTAATAGAGTATGTGTAAGAGCCACTTAAGCACATATTTAGATTTGGTAAAAATGTCTGTGTTGATATGACATATCATATAGATTCTGATATTATTTAAATTTGCACAAGAGTTTCTTTATATTCTGAGTATAGTAGTGGACTACGCTAAGGTTGTGTTTATATTGACTTTATTTCTGTGTTAGAATAAAGGCTTAAGTTATTTACAATAGGTATGGTACTGTAAAGCAGTTGAAAGAGCATGACAAGGATATTGTTGATAATGTCATGCGTAAAGACCACATGAAGTCAGAGTCACATTGTGAATATACAGATATAGGACATTGAGTCACTAGTGGACAGTACAAGATTTAATTTTGTAAGGACTTGGCCAGCCGTTTTGTTTTCTTTTCTATATTCTCAATAAACCTCGCTCAACTTTTTCCCTGCTTCGTGTGAGTAGTGTGGATCTTCACAGAAGTCAAAAGTCAAAACTGAGACACCTTGCAGACTGAGTGGCCTAGGAACTTTGAAATGTTGAAACGGCTACTATAGTATGTGAGGTTGGAGCACCAATTTAGAGCATGTTGAGGACACATCAAGTCAGATGCTGAACGAAAGACAGAACAGGTTGTTTCCCAATTCCATACCACATACCTGCTGCATTCACGTTGTGGTAAACTGTATTAATTCTTCACTGTAAGGGTACAAATAGAGTGCTCCAGGAAATAATCCAACAACCCAGAAATGAGTTGGCATTTTAGCACCGGTTCTCTTGTCTTAAAGTCAATGGGATTTTGAATGACTTTTTGGTTAGATGTCTGAAATAAGGTCTGTGGTTAACACAAACTAAGGAGACTTTCACATTTTGTTCTACAACATAAAATATGTCAGTAAATACCCCACTGTGAATTTTGAAGCTTTTAGGGCTCCTAAAAAAAGACAGTTGCTAACAAATGGCTAAATGAAACTACAGATCATCCACACTCCAAACACGGCTTTACAGCCTCGTTGTGGTAGAACGACGAAGTTCTTTAATGTCTAACATTAGTTTTTTACTTATGCTGAATGCATTTACGTTTTCAAAAATTATAAAACTGGTGTTGATCTGTGAAGATTATCTTGCTGAACAAAACATCTCAGTATAATAAACTTCGTGCCACAGAGCTTGTTTTCTGCAATAAACCAAAAAATCCTATAGGCTTTTTGATGAGTGAGCCAGGGCGATGCCAACTTCCACATCAGCCTATAAAAACCCTCATCCCTGGAACACTCTACAATCAATGTGCTTTTTGTTTGTACAATGTGAAATGATACAGGACATGCAAGAACAGGTACATCAATCAAACTGTCACTTTTCAATGTCACTGTCAACCAGACTTCACAACGAGAACACTAAATGTGTTTCCATGGATTTAGTACTTTTGTTTCAGGAGCTCACCATTCTAACTGATTAGTTTGTTTTCCAGCCACTAGCAGCTCCTCTATTTCATTCACTTTATACTATGAACACATTACAGAACTGGGCATGGTTCAAGACAGCAAAAAGAACTGATTGGAAAAAAACTGTTTTTAATTCATTCAGGAATAAATATATCAACCACACTGAGCTTTGCTTACTGGTAATCTGTTTGATAGGCTGATTTCAGTATCTGTTAACCACCAATCTCAGCTTCCACAGGAATGACAAGGCATTTAAGAGTACAGTGATATTGTTAAGCTCCCAGCCAGTAGCCATGAAACCCAAGAATAATAATTCTATCACATCCAATAATAACATCACAGCACTCAATGAGACCACTCTGCTAAATTAGATTGAGACATAATGGCATCGTGTTCATCAGAGCCAACTGTGGACATGAGGAGAAAATCTTATTATAATTTAAAACATAAAATGCAGTGTGTTGTGAATACAGACTGAGCAAATACAGAACATTGGTCAGCAATGTGAAATGATTGGATAATCTTACACGTTGAAGGAGTCATGCAGTGTGTTTGTGTTGGAAATCACCCTTTTCAGTGCTCTGCTCCTTCCAGAGGCATGGACTTGAGTCACATGACTCTGATGCGAGTCATATGACTTGGACTTAAGTCAGACTCCAGTCACGAATTTGATGACTTTAGACTCGACTTGACAAAATCAAAAAAGACTTGCAACTTGAGTTGGACTTCATCACCAGTGACTCATGACTTCACTTGGACTCGAGCCTTTTGATTTGAAAGAACTTAATACCTTCCCCCAAGCCCAAAGATCAGAAAGTATGTTTTTCAAACAGTTTAATTCCTGAATCATCTAGCATTAACATTATTCCTTCTCAGTAGGTTGATACTTTATTCTCCAGATTCACTTTGTTTGAACCAATCTGACAGAATCCAATCATAATGAAGAACTAATGTTATGGTACTGAGTGCCAGTTTGAAAAAATGATACTAACAAACTGCAGTATGTAAAACGTGTGTATCGACAATTATAGACAGAGACCCTAAACCTTCCAACAAACTTGTTTTAACAAATTAATACAAAATTTAAAAGAATTAATGATTTTTTGTAAATTTAATGGCTTATTAATCTGATGTTAAAATTATATTAGATTTGATGAACAGCACATTATGAGATTTACTTGTGACTTGCAAAACAATGATTTGGTCCCATCTCTGGCTCCGTCCTTTATTTATGTAAAACATGTGTATGGTATCCCATTGTTGAATCATACAATAGCTGGCAATTCTAGACAACACCTTCACATGATTAAATCCAGTTCAGAACTCAGCCCAATGTCTCTGTTTAACCTACACATTTCAAGTCTGTCTAGGTTATGCATTATGAGGTTTTATTCCTAGATCTCAGTGCGCAGGTTGGGAAATCTCTTCAGCAGGGTTGTGGCTTGTTTTGGGTGCAATCGTCCACCCTGAAGGCTGGTCTGGTCAGATTTATTCTTCATAGCAGCCTGTGAAAGGGGAAGACAATTTGTTACCAGTGCTTTTTAATGAGTAATGTGTTCATTAAGTACAGCTAGCTTCACGGCTCTGTAAGATGAGGTCAGCAAACTCTGATATCTAAATGCCTCGTGTGAATGATGAGGTGAGACGCAGACATTCTTGGTGTGTCCAGCTTTCTCTATACTGAGCACATACTTAACATTTCCTCTGTAGAAAGACTTTCTAAGACCATGGCAACTTTGAGATCTCTCAGGCCAGTTCCACAAAGATCGTTTGGACTGGAATTGTACGGGTGGAAATCACCAGAGGGTGCATGATACGATTTTATCACCATACTGAAGTCACAAAACAATACTATTGTAAATTTAAACATACTGCGATATGCTGCATATTGAGGTAACAAATATTGTTATAGTGATTTATTACATTTTTTCAACTTGAAATTATGTCCCAAAAGGAAAACTTTGTCAACTTTTGTTTTATCTAATAAGATGAAGTTTTCACAGTCTGTTCATCTTACTGCAGTCACTTTGTATGTAGTGGACCGAAAAAATCAATTGATTTTATTATTCTAGTAGCCTACCAGCAGTTTACCGCAGTGAGGCAGTGGTTAGCACTGTCACCTCACAGCAAGAGGGTTCGAACCCAGGGTGGGAGAGCCCCTCGGTGTGGAGTTTACATGTTCTCCCTGTGTCAGTGAGGGTTTTCCCCAGGTAGTCAGGCTTCCTTCCACAATTCAAAGACATGCAGGTTAGGTTAACTGGTGACTCTAAATTGCCTGTAGGTGTGAATGTGAACATGAACGGTTGTCTGTCTCTATGCGTCAGCCCTTCAATAGTCTGGTGACCTGTCAAGGGTTTACCCTACTTCTTACCCAGTGTCAGCTGGGATAAGCTCCAGCACCCCCTCGACCCCAAACAGGATAAGCGGTTATCGAAAATGAATGGAATGAATATTAATAATTTATATAATAGAAACTTTGATACTTGCTGTCCCTGTAATGACACAATATTGCCACACAAAAATATCGCAATACTATGCTGTACTGATTATTTCCCCCACCCCTAAAAATTACATACAAAGACAATGCAAAGATGCAAATAGACACTATTCACATATTTACCCCAAGTTGAAATCTTTCAACTTGAGTAATACCAGCCTATCAGCATTGAGATCTAGCTGATATCCTCCTGATGTTACAGAGAATAAGAATAAACAATGGATACGCAAGGTGGCCATCAATGGGCACCTGGAGCTCTGCCACTCAATGTCAGGACTGTACAACAAACAAGGAGAAGGCTCAGAGATTAGTGAGCCAAGCTGTGGGACTACATGGTAAGTTCTAAAAATATGTATTTGTGACTTGTGTGAGCTATTGTGTTGAATTGCTTCTTAGCAAAATGCTCTGAGTAATTTAAATTGGTCTTTTATTGTGGAAAGTAAACAACAGAAGGAGTGAAGCAGTCATATACTGCCATGACAGTATGAAAAATAATAAAGAATGTTGACATTTTGGTTCATGCTGGTTCAGAACATGGAGCTTGTGAACCATTAGAACACTTGATTCTAGCTACCAGCTGTAATTTACCATGAATCAAGTTAGCTGCTAGCTGCCCTCGCACAGCTGTAAAGGGCAGATTTTCACCAGTAAAATACTCAAAAAAACAAACAAAAACAAAAGTCCACTAGCAGCCGTACATGCACGAGTAATGTGGCAAAATTTAGCTTTGCCTTCGGTGTGAACACACCATTATGTTTTGCTCTTAGATCAGTATAATGCATTTTAGTACTTGAAAATAAATAGCAGTTGGGAGACTGTTAGGGAACAATCCTGAGCCTGTGTGACGTGTAGCAGAAGTACTGAGGCCTGACATATTGATGCTTATTTTTCTCTTGTTAAAAAGCTTAGTCATATGCAATGGCATAATAACATAATGGGTCACATAAAATCAAAAGTCAAATCAATACAATAAATATTTCAAGTTTTCAGTGGTTTTCAGCCTGTGACATTTAACAGTTTGAGGGCCCAGTTTTCCTGTAGGTTGACAGCTTATTTGTGGTACATTGACCACAAAATATTAATAGCTAATGATCTCAAATCTGATGATGATTAAATCATTAAATAATTAATGATTTAACATAACAATGATAAGATAGTGGCAACAGGGTGGTCCAGTGGTTAGCATTGTCGTCTTACAGCAAGAGGGTTCCTCATTCGAACCCAGGGTGGGGGAGCCCCTCTGTGCAGAGTTTGCATGTTCTCCCCATGTCAGCATGGGTTTTCTCCGGGTACTCCGGTTTCCTTACACAGTCCAAAGACATGCAGGTTAGGGAGGAGCCTGTAGGTGAAAATGTGAGCATGAATGGTTGTCTGTCTCTATACGTTAGCCCTATGATAGTCTGGCAACCTGTCCAGGGTGTAACCCCGCCTCTTGCCTAATGTCAGCTGGGATAGGCTCCAGCAACCCCCAACAGGATAAGCTGGAAAATGAATGAATGTAAAATAGTAACTTCTTACATTTCATTGCCGCTTTCAAATTATTTTTACTTGCTTGTTTAATTAGTGAAATAGAGTGAAGTTTTGAAAATCGAAGAGTGAGTTCTGGGACATTTAGGCAATAATAACGGTTACCCGTCTGCAGTCAACATATTTTATATGACAAATAAGGTTGCCTCGCCTGTCTCTCTGAATCAAAGACAGTCCAGCTACTTAAAGTGTCCACACCGATGGAAGCAATGACCCAGTGATGCAATAATAATGTTACACCAAATTTATGCTGTCAGTTAAGTCTTGACCAATAATATTCCAAACAGTGATTGATTAATCATTGATAAATCATTAACAACCCAAATGGTACCTCATTTTATGCTACCTTATGCTTCAATAAGTTTTTCATCCACTGCAGCATACTTCTAAACTGTGTAGTCTGCCCTCCTTTGTTGAGCAACTTTTATCAGTTCTGTTCTAACCCATATACTACAAAGGCCTAACATCATTCGCTGTGGTCTTTGTAAGTTCTGTCAACTGTCAAATCAGCTACTCTGTTAAATATACTGCGTTTGTGAGTAGTCAACTGCCTACTTGTGTTGTACAGCTGCAGCAGCCTACAGTACTATCAACCCAGGCAGTCTCGCGAGATCAGCATTTAACACCTGAGGTCATGGCGAGAGGTCTCGCGAGACGGCTGGACACTGAATGAAAACAGAGCAGCAAACAATGGTGGGAGCGCGTCCACTGAAGGCATGGGTCTACGGTGCATTTTTCTCACTCGCATTTTCCCCTAAAAATATAATGCTAATAATGTACACCTGTTTATTAAATGCACATTAGTTTCCCAGAAAAGATGAAGAAATACCACTAAGCATCAGCTCACTGCTAACTGTAGCCTCAGTTTGTACCTCATACAGATCTGCTGGTAAAGTTAACTTAGCGTTAGCAAGCGTGATAAAAGACGGCAGAGAGGCGACGTTGTGCAAATAAACTAAAGATTTATTATTTTTCTGTAGTAGTAAACACATGGGCCGATAACAAATGTGTTAACTAATTATGCTAAAGCTTTACAAGCTATTCAGGGCTGCCGGCGTTAACATTAACATGACGAACAGCAAGGCTAACGTTACGGCTAACAAGCTAACGTACTAACGCTACTCAGACACACACACATACCAGACAGCCTCTCAGTCCTTAGCCGCTAATGTTAGCTCATGTACAACACATGTAACGTTACCACACAGAAACTTTTACAAAGGGTCATAATGTGCTTCTAGAGACTGTCAAATCGCCAGCGAACATTGTTTACACTGCGGACACGGAGAACAGCTGCCTAGTCTCATGGGACAAAGATCCTCTGAGAAGAAAGACGGTTCACTCTGCTCTGCCGCCAGGAACAAACTGGGAGGCAAAGATCCTCTCTGAGGAAGAGGGTTCACTTTGCTGCAGGGTTCACCTACGTATATTGTTTCTGATACAGTCAATGTGTGCATCACAACCACTGTAGTGTATTGCACAAAAGCTTTATAAGACGGTTACAGGCAGCAAAATTGTGGATGTCCTTTGTTTACATTTTTTTGTAGCCACTTCATTTAAATTGTCTGCCTTGTGATTAGATTTAATTTAAAATATTTATTTTGTATTTGTTGGTCAGGTAATGTTAAATAAAAGTACATGATGACTAATGTACTGCTTTGGGGTCAATTCTTAATGTAAACAGTATTTTTTAATAGTAATGCACCAGGTCAGAGGGTTCCTTGTTAAATATACTTTGTTAGTTCTCAGAAAATATCTTAATATCCAAGCAAATTTTGTATCATAATTGAAATATACTTGACTGAATTGATATTGAACTGAATTGAATTGAATTGAATTGAATTTTGAATCTGATCGAACTGAGTCCTTTAAAATCGAATCAAATCGATCTGGAAAATCTGAATCGATACCCAGCCCTAAATGGATTAGCAACCATTTTTCTTCTAACAATAAATAGTTTCCATCCTAGACTTGTACGGCTTTTTAAATTGTTATATTTAAGGTGTAAAAAAAAAGAGAGAAGACGATACCACAATATCATACCGTCACCGCATCCCCCCAAAATAATACCGTGATATTTTAGGCCATACCGCCGAGCCCTAATTGAAGTACACTGGCACTGAATATATCAAAATCCCCCATAGGGGGGGAAATGTTGACTCTCTGCTTCTGAGGAGAGAACTGTACTGGATTTACACATTGGACACCCTAGCACCAAAGGGTCTCAATGAGGACTGTTCAGAAGGTCATCCTGTCTCTACAGTTTACACCAAGACACCCCTCCTTTCAGCCCACTTGCTCTTCACGTAACCAGGTCATGCCAACGGTAACTGACTTGCTCCACCAATCACGAGTCTCTTACATCAATCGGTGGAGCTCAGCAGCAGCAAAGGACATCTGAATCCAGCTAAAGCAGACATCTAGCTATTCGGCAATATCAGGACTCTGTTTCTCTCATCTGGTTTATCATCCTGTGCGTTC